AAAACTAGGTGTCTATTTACTTGTTACCACTCAGTGTATATTTGTTTTCGCGTTGTTACTGGACTCTGGGGTCTAATAATGCCATCATATATCGCACACTTGTGATATATATTTCCATAAGACCGTTTTTAATGTCAGGCGAAACTTTAGAAATATTTCTATAGTGTCAATGTAGAATTACAAAGGATTACTCAGAGGTGAACTTAGATGAGTGATATTGATTGATATGTCAGTTTTTGAAACAAATGTATATCTCTACATTTTTGCCTTAAAAGACATAGACGGTTGGAAGTTATACCTGAAACAAAAAACTCACCTTATGAATTAGACTGTGGCTCAGCGTTAAGCCTGAGGATGATGAAAATTGGGGTTCGATACCAGCGCTGGGCACAGCATAAATAGCAAACTGCTTAGCTTTGTGCTTAATAACAAACTTATTCTCAACAAAGATATAGGGTTAAAATACAGTGTTTGCCAAAGGGTGTGTCGCGCAACTCTCGTCTGTCACGAGTTGGAGGTGTGCAGCAAAAAAGTCATCACATGGAAATTGTTATTTTACTATATTTCACTGCAATTGTAATAAAAAAAGGCTTATAGACACTTGTTATTTTACTATATTTCACTGCAATTGTAATAAAAAAGGCTTATAGACACTTGTTATTTTACTATATTTCACTGCAATTGTAATAAAAAAGGCTTATAGAAAAACTAAATTACAATTACTTGTTGTTTGTTTGAAGTTAAATTCAAAGCTATACAATGAGCTATCTGTGCTTTGCCCACCACGGGTTCGAAACCCGTTTCTAGCGTTGTAAATCCGCAGATATCTGTTGTTAAATTTAGCGCAGAGCTGTTCGAGGACTATATCTGCTAGCCGTTCCTACTTTTGACGTGATAGACTAGAGGGAAGGCAGCTAGTCAACACCACTCACCACCAACTAATGGGCTTCTCTTTTATCAACGAAAAGTGGGATTGACCGTCATATTATAACATACCCAGGCTGAAAGGGCGAACATGTTCGGTGAGAATTACAATTACGATAAAATACATTACAATACCAATATGACAACAGTGCAAGGAATAGCCAAGTAGTTAGTATGCCCGGACTTAAACCTGAGGGTTCATGGTTCGCGATCAGTAGTTGCAAAAACGCGATTCGTACCTTGGGGGTCTTAGGTGTACTATAAGAGTGACGGTCAAATCCCACTATTCGGTCAAACAAACAGCACCCAAAAAGCAGGCAGTGGGTGTTTTTGACCATCTATCTTCTACTCTAGCCTATCAGTTCAAAATTGAGGGCGCCTAGGCGCAAAAAAACTATTGTGTAGCTTTGAGCGAAAATTCTATAACAACCTGATGACCTTGTGAAAATACAATCGCAATCCTCCGGCCTTTAAGGGTTTTGTGCGTGTATTGCTTTATTTTCATTTCATTATGAGTGCAAAAAAGTAAAGGCGTGCCGATTTTTTATTTTTTATTGGTAATTCCAAGTATACATTGGGGTGAGGGGGCACTTGACTATTATAATTTGTTTCGTTGGGTGCTGCACAAAGAAAACTAGCCGTCCCTGACTTGTGAAGTGATAAACTTAGGTTTAAGGAAAAACAGCTAGCTAAAAAACCCCATTGCCAATTCTGTCAGATCAATTAGTGGGTTTTGACCATCACTTTTATCACGCACCCATGGCCCCAAAGCTACATAT